CACTACTCTTGTAGGGAATACCATCACAGCTAGATCTGTATTACAAATTATTTACTTGGTATTAACCGGTAGGCTTTGTGGAAGTATTTGAATGACTTGCTTATGACTTCAGACTATAGTTTAAGGATCTGAGCACTGTCTCTTGTGATTGGCTGGCCGCCACTGTTTATAGTTTGGTTAACGACGTAGAATATAAAATCCCTAGTGAGTAATCAATTAACTATGAACTATTTATCCATGGTTTGCCACTGTTATTCAAGTATGATATGTTGTCCCAATGAAGATGTTGATTTAGCTTATTAATACGTATAGAAAAATAAACTACACAAAACTTAACCCAGTAGTCAGCGAACTTCAATAACAAAATCTCAGTGACATGAAGTGTCTCAAAACTAAGCGATAAATCCTGAGGTAACCATTTATTTAACTAAGCTTTCTAGTGCTCATTCATGTGTAGTAGAAACGTATGTAAGAGTTTTGGAAAGGCCGTGTAACTTGGAGACAATTTGACGTCATTTTTCCATGCAACAGTGAGTCAGTAGTCCGTTGGGTATGGACAAATAAAAGTATCCTGAAAGTATCATATCGGCTGTAAATTCCTCGTCAGACTATCTATTTACGGGATATAATTTTAAAAGTGAATCTTGGGGAAATTGCTTATAACAGTCTAAATAAAACTGCTGATATTACACCAAATTACGCATAGCAGGAATACTGAGGGTCAAGTTTCCAGAATGATCTAAAGGAAATTGAAATTTATACATATTTAGTTGAAAAAGAGTGGGGACGTGGCTCTCAGACTTCAATACTTGACATTCGGTCAGCGGTTGCCGTATTCGAATTCCGCTCCACCTACTTTATCCTGGACACCAGCCCTCACACAATAAGTGTGGCTCATATCCTGGGACATGAAAGGTGTTTTCCGGGAACTGATTTCACTAATAATAACTACTAGTTGGAAAAAGCAGTTAATTTGGTACACCTTGTGAATAAATACTGATAAATAGTTCGGGATAATGAAGGCATCTAGTAGGCGATTAGTGAAATAAAGTATTTGGGTCACTAACTGCTCAGGATGTTGCTTTGGCATTTGGATTAAAATTCAAGTTTGATGTTTGGATACTTGTGTCAGTATCACAGTACTTATGTGCGTAATAAAACCATAATGAAAAATCAGAGTTCTAGTATAAACTTTGTGAACCATTAAATCGCTCACGGACTACCAACTCAATTGTTGAAATTATTGAGATCATATACGTGTTCCTGTTTATTTTCAATCAGAGTATTTGTGTTCACCAAAAATCCTTTTGCTAATTAAAAGATTGATTAAGCATTCATAGATATATGTACCGGCAATCCTTATTAGCCAGTTACCCATTAATGATTGAACATACAGCATTTCTCTATATTCGGTCTTCCCGTATATTTCAAGACCTTTTCCTTTGGAAGACATAAGAAATACAGTCGTTGTTTATTCCTACTCTTTTCTGTATTTTAGCCTCATAAAGAAATTAAATATTGTTTATTCAGTACGATATATAAAGAGTAACATTAGTCTATTTCTAAATAAATTGCGTATCTATTTATGTTAATGGCCACAGTTGCTTAGTTCAAATTAGGTTAAAAAGTTCCAGCTGGACATTTTTGCTGTTTTACAATGAGACACTTCGTAAGAAAAAACCATGTGTACAAAGTTTTCAGCAAACAATAGTAGAAGCAATTACTGTGGACCACTTCTTACATAATTGCATGTGAAATTCAAAAAATGCAAGTTTGCTACGATCAGTTCACACAAATGGCAGTAAATAAATCAACAGATATCTAGAATGAGTTGCTAAATGTTCACTTTGTGATCTTGATTTTACCCATCATCTTCTTAATTAGGCAAGGTGATTGAGGTAGCCGGATAAAAAAGCTTATCATGCACACCTTTCAGTGGGACGATTTTTACTGTATGTTTCAACCAATGCTTTCTATGCATTATACATTACTGGTTTAAAGTCTCACTCCTACTGTATTTTAAATTCTTAAAAATCAATATTTAGCTCATTGCGACTTAGCTTATAACTAGCTTAACACGACAGTATCTTATATACAAGTGTTGAATTTGTAGGTTGTTTAGTTTTACCCTGTTTATTTGAAGTTAAATTTCTGTACTGATATCATTCTGGTTTATACTGTTTTGTAACTGTTATAATGGAGGTACCCATCAAGCTTGTAGTTTCTTGGTGGTTAACTTGAGAGATATACGAGAACCTGGTTAAGGGACAAAACATAACATACTTTTGAAAACCTATCTGAGAAAATGAGAATTCTGACGTTTGAGCGATACACCAGCTGGTTGGTGTTGCAGCTTATCATATATTTCAGCTCACCTATTGTTAACAGTTTCCGTTATTGCGGCAGTTTGTAAAATAACTTCCAAAGTTAAGTATCAGTCAAAAAGATGTTTCACATAGATGTTTTAGATGTTTAAAGTTATTGATTTTTAATGTTTTTTCGTAGCACCTCATAATATGTTCCCAGAAGACAATTTCGGAGTTCAATACAGCATTTAACGTCAGACAGCGCATGGACCTATTGTTTATTCAATACATTGACTCATTTCACTAACGGGGGTGCAAATCTAATGTGCCAGTGTTTTACTGAATAATTGACCTGCTGTTTTATTGGAATTAAATACTATGAAATTTAATGGACTTTTCAAGAAAATTCACTACTTCACAGCTTGGTCATGGCATCAGTTAATTAAGTCAATAATAGTAGAGCTGATAGCCATCGTGATGTGTGTTTATCTTGTCTTACATTTTGCTGCCTACTACGAATTTGAAGTTACACAAACGATTAACCTGACCAAACAATTATACAGATTGTCAAATTCTTTAGATGAATACGTAAGTGAAAAGTCTGTTTGATTGATTGTACATAATTTATTTACACGAGTGCATTGGTGGTTGGTTCAGTGGTAGATTGCTTGCCATCCACGTAAGCAATCCGAGGTTTGATCCCCGACCGGCTGACTGCTAGAACTCGCTAAGCTGGTAGTAAATTTGGTAAAGAGGGAAGTTTGGGCGTATGACTAGCAACCCCACTCCGTAAAAATAAAAAACCCACTGATACTGAAACTTCAAAGCTCTAACTTGAAGCCCTTTGTTCCAATCGAAACGTAAAGGAATAAAATAATAATAACACGCATTTTTGTTTATTGACACCAACTTTCAGCTGAAGAAATATTTGAAAACTAGTAATGATTTAGTAGATATTATGTATAGTTTGAGATGAAAAAGTTGTTATTGTTTCCCATCCTATTGGTTTAATTAGAACTTTTTTGGGTTTAAGCTCAAAAATGTTGAGAGTGCACATACATTGTAGTTTCAAACATTAACTGAACAGTTATGTAACTTTTTAATAAGCTGCAAAGCCTGATAACAATCAATATTTATTAGGAGTGATTTACATCTGTATGTAATACTACAGCTTTAACGACGATCTGATCAAAGAGACTAAAACAAACATTCAAACAGATTAATTAGTTATTATCATCCTATTTCTCATATAAACAATGAAGAGGAGTATATATTTTGTAATCAAATATTTTTATTTGAAAAATCACAGTGTTACATATTGTGTATTTACTAATGACGTTTTAAGCAGAATTTATTGGTCATAATCTTATCCAGGTGATCAAAGTGTAGATATTAATGAAACTACCAGAGTTATGTGTTGCACTGTGTACTTTACATGTTACTGTGATGCACACGACTGGCTGTTCAATTGCTAGGGCATGACTAGGTTGGTTTTTTAGTGCAATCATAATAGCTATTCATCGTAGACTACTTTAATCACGTAAGATCCCACCGAATGTGTACCAGTAGATGAAATAAAAAAAAACCCAATAAAATATTACTTACCTTTATTCTATAGTTAGTAGATTGGCATTTATTTCAAATTATGACCCAGATAATTTAATCACAAACTTTCTAAAACAGTAAATTATCAATCAATAATATTACCATAAGTTATTGGGAAGCCAACCGATTTTTACCAATAAATATTGTGATCGCATCTATTTTCTGCGTAGTACCATAGAAGTAGACTAAGTCATTCGCATTGTGTACTTAATTTCGATCTCCTAGAATAAATGCAATCACTAATTGCTTATATTGGGGGGGGGGATTCTCACTCAGTCAATGACCAGGTCATGCTGCGTGTTTGACTCTGACCTTAAGATGTATCATGGGGGTTAGTCTATCGATGGCTGTTAGATTTGATTTCGGTTTGCTATCACAAGTTACTCTTACCATGAAACTAAACTTTAAGGTTAAATAAAATGATCAGTACGTTATATGGACTTTTCTATTTAAGACTTCAGTTTAAAGCAGTTATAAAACTTTATTTTCTCTTCACAACGTACACTTGTTTTGTGTGTGGTTTTTAAGCTAATTCAGCTAAGGTAATTGTTGTATACAACTTTCCGACAGTCTGACTTGACTGACTGGTTGCAACATAGAACTTTGCACAGATGTGCAGCACTTCGAGTTGCCACACTCCACACAAAGGAAGGGAAGAGAGTAAAGGGAGATTCAAAAGAGAATTAAGAAACAGAAGTGTGAGGGAAAAAGAATAGTAATATGGAAAAACAATAGTTTTATTGGATATAATAAATCACAAAGAGTGAATGCATTCGGGCCATTGACAGCGATTTTCAGCCATATCACCGATTGTCTCCAGCCTTCATTGGTTCTTACCATCCCGAGGACCCCAATCAAGTAGTCTACGCCTCTCTACGTGGTCTAAACTAACTGTTGTGTATTCCATTGACTGATGAGGCCATGTTTTCATTTGACCACCAACAATCTGACTGGACTAATGTGTAATTTTCGACCAATGTACACTGTGTACATTGCATACCAGTTAGATTAGGTTTCTGTTTAAGCATAAATCAAACACACTGGTGGGGGGGGTATATAAGCTAAATTTCTTAATCTTGTACATATCGGTTCATATTCAACCAAATAGTTGAAACTTTGTGTTAAATTAATGGTGAAAAATGACTAGGATTATCTTTTTGTTTACAGACACATTTTATATATTGCTTGTTAACTTTGTGTGTTTATTTTGTTTCTCGTAGAGAGAGAGTGTGTCAAGAAACCTAGCGCACTTTATGTAATAAGGTTTATAAACTTTCTGTTGGGTTGTTTTATGCACCATAGTATGAACATATTTGTGTTCACCTGTAGATAACCTATTGAATTAATCGATATTTATTTTATCCTTTGAAGAATATATTTGTGAATATAGTGTACATACTAACTTTAAGGAGTAATGTTTCTCTTTTATTTATTTCTTTGTTAGATAAAGCTACAAATGAAGCTTCAATCAGCATTAAACAAAACACACGTTTTACCAAATATGGTTACTATTCCAGTCTTAATAATAGCTTGTAATCGTCCTAGTGTTAATCGTCCTATTGATAAGCTTCTACAACTGAAAACTGAATTCCGGCGACAACAGACTTTTAACTTCCCGATTTTCGTTTCTCATGCTTGTGATGACTACAATACTGCAGTAACACTAGATGCTTATCAAAATTCTATTACTGTCATAAAACCTAACGCTCCATTGACGAAACCAAGTAAGTTCTTGAATATATGTCTATAGGTCGTATCTCTTACGGTAAATATGATAATAATAACAATTTATGATCTCCTTGAAATTAACATTCTATAAAGTAAGTGAAAATAGCAAGACTTATGGGGAACAATATATGGGTATGCTTTTTTGTTGTTGTCATACTTAATGCCTATACTATGTAACACAGTTTAGAATCATAATAGGAAATACTTCCAATTTAAAGTGAGAAATCCACAGGTTATGTAAAATCTCTTTTCAAAGAAACAATGAAACAGCGGTTTGTAATAATTAACGAATTAATTTCAAAATTTTAATCTTTACTGAAGGATATTTGTCTGGCATATCCTCAAGTGTATTATAGACGGATGTACTGTTAAGAGATGTAGCTTTAGACTTTTGATAACATCGTTCAAAATCGTTTACAATGACGCGAATGTTAGATCGTTGGAGGCAATTGGCAGGAAGCCTTGGACCTAGGTTTCATGTTAGTTGGCACTCATCAGCAAGGCGTATCTGCAACTTTGAAGGAACTCATGTCCCTTCTGAGCTTCGAACCCGCGTCACCAGCCAGTGCTGCAGTCAGAGACGTTACCACTGAGCTATTCGGGCTCGCGATTGACCTCCTGTAGGACGCGAATGTGTTCATTTTGTCGTTTTCAGAATTGTATACATTTTCGCCTACTATTAATCGCATTATTCACTGCACTCATTCGTATTGGTACTAATAGTATTAGTACCAGTAGTAGTATCATTCCACCACAGATTGATTTTATTTGATAAGATTCACATATTTATACAGTATTACTTATTGCTGGCGTTTCGAGCACGATTCATTGCTCATAATCATATCAAGCCACTCACAAAGATTGTTTATAATAGTTCCATTATTTGTTATCCTTTGATTTCATTACTAGTAATATTTTCCTTACATCTGGTTTCGGCATTGCATCATTTCTATCACACGTGTGAGGTGTAGATTCGATGGACAAAGATTCAGCGGGGGAGGTCATTGGTCATTGAATCTGACGCAATCGCAACACCAGAGATGTGGAAAATATTATTACGAATGAAATCAAAGGATAAGAAATAATGGAATTATATAGACAATTTTTGTGAGTTATGTGAGTGCCTTGATATGATTGTGAGCAATGAATCGTGCTCAAGACGTCAGCAATAAATAATACTGTATCAATATGTGATTCTTATTAAATGAAATTTTGCTGGTAGAATTATACATCATCACAGTGCCTAAGTTCTTTTCTTATATCGGCAATAGTATCAACTCTATATCTGTGTAGGATGAAGTATTCTTCCAGCTGGTATTTTCTTGTGAAAAGCCTTCACCTGTATTCTAGTCATCATCTTCAGCATATTTTAAAGTTGGCGGTGGAAAATATGATTTTCTCTTCAGTATTTATATTGATGTCTTTTACTATAGCTTTAACATAATGACCCAACAAGCTATACTGGCTGAGACTTATGTCGCTTGAGGTCCTACCATGCCAGAAAGGTTGTTTGGATAGCGGTTAGACAAAAAGCAGTTACCCAACCCAATGCTATGACTCAAAGTAAATCACAAAATATCATGCCGGATCGGTCGGGGCCCGGATTAACAACGACCGCGCTTTCTGCTGCTGTGTCACAGGGCAGAAGTGATAAATACGCTACTGAGACACACCAAATAAAAAAGAACAAACAAAAACAGGTCGTGTGTGACCGGCCTCAAGCAGTTGTCCCCTGGGCTCTGCGGTCACGCAACCAACTTCCACGGTGTGGGCAGCCGGGAAGTAACAATCGCCCTCACAATCCGAAATGCACGCGAAACCTCAGACAGACTATAGCTTTAACACAGCCCTTCTGCAGAGGTATTTTAAGTATGTGGATTCTTTGACTAGCGTTTCAACTAAAGAATACCATCCTGCTTTATGCTTTTACCTTGGATGTTATTTTTTAGTTGTAGTTGATATTTGTCTTCATTAGGCTTTTTATCCTTCATATAAATTGGTAAAAAGAAACAGGGGGGAACACATAATCCGCATCGATCAGCAGTTTTCAAAACAATTTAACTAGTGTATAAAAGGAAGTTCATATTGAACTCGTGTTATAGAACAAAACAGCAAATCGGATATTGGGACGATAATTAATCTAAGCGGATATATGCCTCATAAAATCAAACCAAGGCAAATCAATCGCAGGTTGTAACAATAAATCCAGATTAAAAATTCAGCCAGCCAGAAAACATTTATTTATATTCAAGTACTTAATAAAAATCAGAGAAAATCAGTCAACTTGTAGAAAAATAACATTCAATAATTAGTCAAATTAGCGAAACAGATTTTCATAAGTACTTAGGAAAAATTATATTCTTTCTTTACCAATGATCAAATCATACTTAAGGTGATGACCGACTATAGTAACAGTGGGAGCATTTACTAAGAAAATATGAACTAGAGAAATACTTCAGTGAAGACGATCATATATTCTCAGCCAAGAAGTATTCTGCATTGTATTTTATTCCTTCACATTGGTTTTCTGTGCTGTTGTTTCGAAGTGTAGCCATTTGAACTTTTGTACAAGGTTTCATTTTGGTATATTTGTCTATCCTTGTGGTTAATATACGAGTGTAGTCTAACGTTTGTATAATTGTAGTGAAGTATCAGTAATCTATAGCTACTAGGAAACTATTGCAAATCAGGTTACACTGGGAAGCTATTTCCTTTTGTCTTACGACTTAGGTGTCGTTGAATGTGAAGGTGAATGAGTACGTTAGCCTTTGTGAACTAAGTTAAGATTCATTTGTCCACGTTTTTCATCTTCTGCCAGCTAGACTGGTATTTACGAAATTGTATGTGGTTATCGATTGTCACTGTCTTCTACTGTACACTCAGCATAAACAACAAGGTTCAGGTTTTCGAAACTAATGTCAAGTCAGTCCTTGTATATGGATGGTTCAGAGACTTGGCATATCACTGAAAGCATTTTGAACAAATTTTTTATCAACAGATACCTTCACTCCATACTGCAGATCAGATGACCAGAAAGAACTAGCGACAAGGTACTCTGGGAACGAATCAACCAAGAACTTCTTGCTCAACAAATATGCCAAGGAAAGTAGAGATAGATCAGAAACACACACACACACTGTGAAAGACCGTCGAGTCACATTGTGCGCCAAGCCCTCCAGTGGAGCCTGAAAGGGAAATGACTAGTTGAGCCTGAGTTCGAGGGTAATATGGAGCTCTGTTGGGGAAGAAGAGATGGAAGACTATGAGCAATCGTGAAGCCAGCTAACGAGGCGTGCAGAGAACAGGACAAAATGGAGATGTACTGTTGAAGTCTTTTGTTCCACCCAGAACCTGAAGGGATAATAGTAATAATAGTCCGTGATTGTCTATGTCATTCATTAACACTAAACATTGTTGATTATTTTTATTGTCTCTCGCTTCACAAAACACCATATAGTTTCAAAATCTGTTTGTGAAGTAATCAATTTCACTGGGACGTAAATAACTAAATCATTATAAGTACTGAGCAACATTATTGTTCGCTCTCTATCGTATTTTCATTTTTAACCGTTTCCATTCATACTGATGAATTAATTGTCAGTAGGATACTGAATGAATGAATTTGGCACGATTATGATTTTTTAAAATAATGACAGTTAACACCTTTTTACGTAGGTTCGTTTAGAATATGCTACTTATATCATCTGGATTATGTGTGAAGGCTCTAATAGCTTGAGATGGAAAATTAGTAAACAATAAAAGAAAACTGGCATTTAATTGGAAACTTGCAGTCATCTACTAATTTTTGTATTTTTTATGCTTATTTCTTTAAAACTAGTTTTTAAAAGTTTGTTTTCACAGAAACATAAGTTAATCACTTGAATTATATCCTTTTTAGTTATGGGACCTAGTCGCCGTGTATTCGAAGGTTACAGGCACGTTAGCCATCATTACAAATGGGCCTTAGATCAAATGTTCCTAGTACGTAATTTCTCAGCTGTAATAATCGTAGAAGACGACCTGGATTTAGCACCAGATTTTCTGAGCTATTTTGCTGGTATGTTCCCAATTTTAGCTCGAGATAATACACTTTTCTGTGTATCTGCTTTCAATGACAACGGAAGACTAGAATTAATTGATGTTAAGCGCCCGGACTTATTGTATAGGTAAGTAATGCTTTCTAATATTTTGGAAGTATATCCTAATGTTTTGGTATTTTAGCTACTACATTTAATGTTTTAAGTCTCCTCAGAATAAATGACGAATATCATTTTTATAATTAATGCTTTATTATGTCGGTGTTAGCAAAAAGAACCTGTCGTTCAACAGGTATGTAGGAGAAAATGGAGATAGGTCGGGCATACGTTGAGGAGGCCGTCAAATGACATCGCGCGCCAGGCCATTGCTCGGGTGGAATCCCCATCGTTTGGGGAGGAGACGAGAGATTATGGACCTTCGTGAACCCAGCTAAAGAGGACAGTAGAAAATAGAACAATGTGGCGGTGTGTTGTTGAAGCCCTATGTTCCACTAGGAACCGAAAGAAACAATGATAATAATGTCGGTGTTACATCCATTGTCAGAATCACCAACTGTCCGGTTAATTAAGATCCTTTATGTTGAAGTCCTAACTGAAGCTACTTACTGGCTTCTACACCAACTTTACATTAGGTGAATAGAAGGCACTAGCCACAAGCATTCAAACCTCTGGTATTTCTTAGCCTTAGCATGTACTTACTACAAATAGAAAGTGAGACAAAGTTTGGTTCTTTTCTAGAGGTATTATCAGTCTTCCCACAGAATGTATCGTTCAGCGAACATTGTTCTTATTCCTAAGAATGATTAAATCTTTTGCACTGATTTAACCACATAAGTGTGTAAAACAAAAGGGCTTCACTATTTCGGTCCTCATATTTGGGTAACTCACATAAAAGACCACTTAGTAATCCAGTAACAAAAAGTGGCACTGCAGAACAGCTTTAGAAAATAACTTTCAAATGAAGTCAAATACTCTAGTGTTTATACTAAGGCTGTACAGAAGACTGTCGTTAATAATTATGTGAAGTTAGCGGAAATGCATATCACTTAGTTTATGTAAGAGGTGTCTTTCTTGACAACCAGAAGAACTTGTTCATAGAGAATCGATCAACTCAGTGGCCGTAGTCGCAAGTTTTTTTTAATCCTCTAAATGTAACTAGATGTAACGAAATACTATGATAATTGCCAAAAAGTAAAGGTAAAGAATACAAAATCTTAATTTCCAAAATCAAAAATGATAGTTTCTAAAAGTAAGACTATTGATGCTGGTTTACATGCTCTTTTATGGGTATAGTCATATGGTAAAACGTTTATAGAAAAAAACAATACATAATCTGCATTTATTATCCTTTGAGAATTTAGTAGGTTTTTTTAAAATTTCACCCCTTAATTGTTCGTTATTCAATGTTAGTATACTTCCTTTTCGATATTTATAGAACGGATTTCTTCCCTGGTCTGGGTTGGATGTTACTAAACACATTTTGGATGGAAATCAGAGAAGGTTGGCCTGATGTATACTGGGATGAGTATTTACGAAAGCCGTATGTACGTAAAGGACGAGCTTGTATTCGACCAGAGATTAGTCGTTCTATTACATTTGGAAGAATCGGTATATCTCAAGGTCAATATTTTGACAGTCATTTAAAGCATATCAAATTAAATGATATAAAAATTAATTTTCAATATATGGATTTATCCTATCTAGAGGAGAGTGTATATCGTAAAAATTTGCAGAGTTTAGTTTATACAGATTCAATAGAAATGGATATTAACTCTTTTATTAATAATCAGATAGATATGTCAGAAATTTCTAAGCCTATTCGAATTATCTATCATAATCGTAAAGAATTTGAAGAGATTGCAAAACACTTTAAACTTATGTCTGATTTTAAATCTGGTGTTAGCCGTAATGCATATATGGGAGTGGTACCGATATATGTGAACAATCGTCGTGTGTATATTGCACCACCTAATGTATGGACAGGTTATAATGAATCATGGGTTTAGTGTTATTGTGCACATGCATGTGTATAGGCAATTTCTAGTGAATTGTAAAAATGCAACCTTTATTCATTCTTTTGTACTGCATATTGTCAATATTAAGGAAGGAAGAAGGGAAGCCTTTTTTTATTGGTTCTTGCTTATTTCTTTATCTTTATTTATTGGGTTATTGTTTTGTTATCATAGTGAAGTGATATAACTATTAGAAGTTGTACAGTTATTGTTTATACACATTTCGTATATGTATTTGTGGGTGTGAAGGGAGACCTTCTATCTCCTCTAATCTGTCTTTCATTATTTGATGTTCTTATTGGATTTTGGTATATTCTGACCGTTGGTGTTAGGTATAATTGAGTTACACTTTGTTTTCTTATTTATTTGAACAAAAAGCAACAATAACAGAATTTCTAATTTATTCTTATTAATTTACATTTTAAGGTTACACAAAGCTTTATGTGATGAGCATATTTTTGCATTGTACAGTTAATATACATATATATATATTCTAGTTCCTTATTTCTTGGTGGCGGTTAAAGATTTACGTTAGTGATTAGATATTCTTAATATTTTTGTTTTTACTCTTTCTATATACTACCTAATGATTAGTGGTTTATGGTTGTACAATTAAAATCAGATTATAAACATGAGATACAAATGTCTTTTTGCTTCGACTATACAAAAACTTGTGTTAATTATTAAGTGTCTTACTGGCTGAAGTGAAGTGAAGATAGGAGAGTTATTCAAATGACAACTAATGTGATGTGTTTTATATGGTTTTTCAAGAAACTATATCCTGTGAGTGTACGTCGGTGGTCCACCGGTAGAATGCTCGCCACTCACACACGTGTTCCAGAGTTCGATTCACGGTCAACGCACTCTTAAACCTCACTAAACCGGTAGTAAGGCCGGTAAAGCGGAAAGGTTGGGCGTAAGGTTAACAACGTCACTCCGTAAAATAAATAAGCCAATGCTACAGAAACTTCAAAGCTCTAACTTGGAGGCCTATGTTCCGATCGAAACCTAAAGGAATAAAAAAGGGTGTCTCGTGAAGAAATTCAAACAAATTCGTGAATACTTAAAATAATAATGTAAAATGTGATAAAATGTTTGTGATTACAATCACAGTTCAATATGAAGTGATACAATAAGTAATATCACATATAGGATAGTTCATTGATTGTATAGACATTAATAGGATTAGTAGGCAATTAAAACATTATGACAACATGGCGGGAAGTTTGATAAGATAGAGTTAAACATAGCAAAAACATATTGAATTAAAATAATAAACGGAACAAGTGAAATAATACTGGAAACTGTCCATATTTAAAATATCAGTAATAATAAAGGGAAGACACACAGACTACTTAGATACGACAAAAATTAAGTAAGTAATTGGTTTCATTCCCCTTTTCTATTCTAAGGCCAAGTTAGAATTAGGGAATATGCATGCTTCTTTTGTAGACAAAGTTCTGGCTAAATTCATGAATAAACAAGGCCTCTGCAGTCGTTGGAAGTTTGGAATGAAGAAAATGTGCTAATCTGACTTGAATTCAGTAGATAGTCTTCAAACATTTGTCGGAGTCGGTTGAGTGACAAATATCGATCAATTATTGTAGAGTAGTCCTTTCCACATCTTTCCTTTCTCCCTTGTAAAACTATGCTGGAGTGTGCTTCGTGTGGAAGGTATTCTTTGGCTAGGACCTTGCTGCGTAAGAGCTGGTGAACTTATAGTTGCACATGGAGGTGCCCAAATGAGGGAGTTTATCTTCTACGCCAACGGAAAAGAACTTCAGACTGGTGAAAGCCATCTGGAGTTTTATTGCAAAGAATGCCTTATCAACTGATTCAGAAAGATGATTTTTAAGACTGATCGCCCCATGAATTCCAAATTCATAAAGTAGTTTCCTTTGGAATTATTAAATTATTGAAAAGACAAAATAGTCTACAGATTACTTTATTTTTCGATATCAAGTTTAAATCGATGCGACTTTCAGTAATATTTCGGGAAGCAGCATGATAAACTTCACAAAGAATTTCAGTGGGGGTCGTTTTATGCACTGCTGCAAATGCATTCACTTCTAAACATCCTTGAAATTCTGAACATCTACATTACTCTTTAGCAAACTATGCCTTCTTTCACTTTGATTTTTATCTATTGTTGTTGTTGTTGTTGTTGTTTATCGTGTTTTGTTTTGAAGTGCACTTTTTTTGCTAGTTTGCCACTCATTGGTCGGTTGATTAGCTGCGTATAAATTCTTACAGCGTGCATGTCTACTTCGATCCAGCATATTGGATGGAGTTGAAGAATTTAAATCTTTTAATTCTGATCATTTGATATTGTTCGTTTAAAAAAGAATTAGGAGGTATTATCTAATCTCGAATGCCATTTTTATGAATCAGTGGTATGGAAACGTCAAAGTGAAAGACCCAGGGGGTGATCTGCTAAGACCACCACCTGCTTCGTTTTCGGCACCCGAGCAATTTTCCAGCCTTCTCACAGACTGTGAGATCTTGTCTGGAGCATTTCTTGGTGCTCATAATGTACTAAATTAAAAAAACAAACAAAAATAACGAAGGCTAAGGGAACACACCGAACTAAGTCCGTGGTACTTGTAGAGGTTATGATTATGATTATGAGCAATAAATTGTGCTCGAAACGTCATCAGTAAACATAACTGTATAACACTGTGAGACTTTATCAAAACAAAATTTACCCATAATGCAATTACACTCTACCACACTGCACAAGTTTTATTCTTATATCAATAATAATAATAATGAATCGTTTACTGAGCAGTAGTTTTTTGTTGTTATCAATAAACTGCTATTTGTTCCACTCGGAATCTTAAGTCACCGTTTTTCTAACAATTATGTGGCCATCCACTGTCAGTACAAAATTGAAAGTTCGTGTCTTTTAAAGGATCTCATCCTCTCATCTTTTTACAATTTTATATCTTCACCTGTATAGTTGATTGCTGATCAGTTTATATTCTTCTCTTCAGTTTACCATCTACTGCGAATACGTTTTAGCGAGAGTAACGTAAAATAAAAATCAGTGTAAGCAAAATAATATGTTGCAGCAATTCACGTGGTTTCTGATTGTTCATTTAATTCACGTGAGATTTTGTAGGCATTATTTTTAGTGTCTGCAGAAGAACTAAACTCTGACTCTAAACAACAACTGGAAACGTGATAGTGGATTAGGTCTTTTTCATACTTTTTTGCTTTAAGTCTCCAGATATCTATGGTCGGCCTGCAAAATTTGGGCTACCGATATCCATGCTGAAAATGTCATACTTGTACTGAAAATACGGTGTGGCATCAAGCTGTTATCGAAAATAAAAAAAATAAATAAAATTACTATTTATTCTTTTACTTTATGCATTTTATTTTAATATAATTTGCTCCTGGTACTGCTTTTCTTTATTTGCCCATCTCCCGTCGTTGATCGCTCTTTGCTTAGTTGATATTTTATGTGATGTGGTATTGTGCGTAGATCTACAGCACAAGAAATAAATACCGTTATATCACAATTATGAAGTAAACGTATTAGTTTTGCAAGTGTTATACATTAGGTTCAACGACTTAGCACGTCAACATAGGTATTGTCAACAGGCTGCTGACCTTCATCAGTAGCTGTCTTTGCTCAATACTAAGAATGAGGTGACCGACCAGAAAGGATAAGCAACACGGAGCTCTGGCAGCGAACTAGCCAATAACTTATTGCTAAGTAATTATGCAGAAGGGAATGGAGATGGATTGGAAATACGTTGAGGAGATCATTGAGTGGGAGCTGAATAGGAAGTGATAGACTGCATGTCCGGAGACGATATGGAGTAGATCATCTGAAGAAGAAATGTAAGATTGTGGAGCCAGTTGGAGGTAATGGCAGAGGATCGGGTGCAATACGGATGTGTCGATGAAGACCTTTGTCGCACTCAAAAGGCAAGGAATGAATAACAACAGTAACGAACACCAATCTCTGTTTCGTAATTAATGTAGTTGTAGCGATGGACTGATTGACTTAATCACTCGACTTCCAACAACTGGCTCACGGACTCGAACGCTTCTCCAGTTTCTGAGGTTTGAAAAACCATGTAAAATATCAACCCAAAAAAATAAGTGTTGTTCATTGTCAAATGTGTTAACATTTATACGATCGCTGAAAACTATCAATAAAATAGAATGTAGTTATTAAGCAAAGTGCCACGTCGCTGCTGTACAGTTTGTCGTAACGCAGTTTCGTTGTGACGTTGGTCTAATCCTCAGGAAGCTGTAGGCGTAGGTTTTGCGCTTGGTATCCACAAAAGGATTTCTATGATTTTCAGGTAATATGTTTCCTGGGACATTCAAACCTGTATCATTCACTCCAGAAATCAATTATCTTGTCACTAAGCTATTCCCAAGGTCTATCTAGGATGATGTCCTTGTGTGCTAGTCTACATCTTTTAATCGTGTACACTAGTCAGCCCTTCACAATCCTCGTTGCCTAGTGAACAACTTGTTAACTTCAAAACTAAGTGATATAGGTTAGAATTTCTACTGAATTAATTCTCAACAGCTGTTACAGTAAAAATATGAACTGCTTATATCCTTTGATTTTCATTGACGAAATACGTCTTGCAGCTACCTTATTCTCCCACATTATAGAAAAGAGGCGATACATTTTCCATGTACTTCATGAATCGATTCATATTACTGGCAGCGACACCAAATGTAAAGTAGACAAGACTGAGGAGACTGAAAGGGATGTTTATTTGGGGAAACGTATGGTACATAGCTAAATTTGGAATACCATATTCTCAACCGGCTATTTGCACATCTTTACCACACCCTTGACGAATTGGTCGAATATCGTCTCATTCGATAGCTTCTTGGATTCTGCATCATATGGCAACATTCTTCTCATGGTTCTCTTCTTTGAATGCTCTTTCCAGTGCGCCAAACATGTTGTTACTTCGTTCCTGATATACTACTTATATCGGATTATAAGTAGCACTCACCACAATACTATTCGCCATAATTATAGACAAACTGACTTCTTATTTCCTACAAATGTTCATTGATTTCCGTTATTATTACGACGTAATTACTAATGATCACATTATATATTTCATAGGTTTATCTTTATATATTCTCCCGTAAACAAGATGGAGTATAGAGAAGAATAAAACACATCATATGACTTTATAGGGTCTTGTCTTTACAATATTATCTCTTTTCACTAATTTTATATTTATTTCCAATTTTGTAATATAGTTGAAATTTTGATAACAACTAGTCACAGTCAGTTATTTTATTGGTAGACAGATAAACACTTACTTACTGTGTCAGACAGATAACATAATCAGTGAATGAGCACACATAAAATCGATTGCACTTATTCGCTTAGTGTTCTGTTCTTTTTTATTTTTATAAAAGTTTACAAGTTGAGATTATCTGCAAGTCAAAAAACATCACATTCATATAAATAAAGCATATTCCACCTTTTCTATTAGAATACCTAGTCTGACACGAAGAACTCTATTGAGTTTTTGTTTACTTTATTTACCGCATTAAACTCAAGATGTATGCCGTCCCTAAATTGCTACAGTATTGTAAGATGGTGATTAGAATATTTAACGATGAGATGGTTGGATGTGTATTG